TACCGGTTAATGTACAGCCTCGCAGTTAGTCTCGGCAGCAGAAATCAGCAAGTCATTGCACAGGGGTGAGGGATGGTACATCCTTCCTACTGGAAGTAATCAATGTCGTCCACTCAGGCCTCTCAACCCTAATGGGGAGGAGCGTGCGTCGAGTCAACCTTGTAATTTTAAGTGACTGGCAGGGGGAATAGGAACCGGACTGTCGCTCCCCAGTATGGCAGAAGCCAGAACCAAGCGGTTCTGATTGAAAAAAAAAAAAAAAAAAAAAAAAAAAGTACAGAATATTGAAAAGAATGGCTGAGTGTGCCTGACAAACATAGTATGTGAGTGTCTGGGGAACTCCATGTGCAGATTCTGTTTACCCTCTCCTACGTAGCGGACAATCTTTTGACATAGCTGGATCTCTGTCTCTAAGCACATGTAGGCTTATCGGTTACTACATGCAGGCAGGTAACTTGTATATCCACTGTCTCTGTTGGGATGTCTTTTCTTGAAGAGTTGTACTGTTGTTGTGGCCGGGTCTGTACGTTGTGTCCTTACAAGATGGCTTTCAGGCCGTGTCTTCTGAGCCCATTGCTGTTCTGCTTCTGAGAATCTGTTCTGTCTGGTTGTATGTGCAGCCTTCTCCTTAGAGTCGTCTTGGGGCTGAGTAAGAAGGGGATCTGGTGGTGGTGCTGGGGTTGGTAGGGGGGGCTGTGAGGAGGGGGAGAGTGGGGGGCATAGTAGAGAGGGGTGGTAGTGGGGTGATGGGCTGTGGCCGATCTGGCAATGGTGGGGGGGGGGAATGATGAACAGTTGGTGGAGGGGGGGTCCAAGGGGAACCTCTACTGGGAGAGGCAGGGGTGCAAGGACTGTTGCCAGTTGGGGATGGGGGAAGTGGCCGGGCTTGTGGTGTATCTGGTGTTGATTTAGGGTTGTTACCAGGGAGTCAATGCAGGTCCTCTGGGCTGACAGGTGCATGGCAGATGGCATTTGGTAAGAAGGGTACTGTAAATTCATGCACTGACCTTCACGTCCAGCTGTGCTCTGTGTTTTGCATTGTTCCCAGTTCATTCTGTTGCTATCGTCTAAGTCGCCCGACTTTCTGCCTGAATCCAGCCATATCTGTCTGAAAGATTCTATTGCTTCCTGTTGTCCCCATGGCAAGTTGGTTAAGGATTTCGGTTGTCCCTGCAGACTTGTCCATGCCCGCTGCATTTGTTATCTCACCTCGTGAATGATACCGTGTTTGGCGTGCTGATAGCCTGCTCTCCAGATGGTCATCATAACTTCCAGCCTGGTATATGAGAATAGGGTCCGCTCAAAAGTACTCCATGTGGTTGGGATGTCGTCCGTGTCCAGCCAGGAGCAGTGTGGCGAGGTTCCAGGGGAGATCCTTTCTGGTCAAGTAGCAATGTGCAGAATCCCACCATCTTCATATGTGGACTACTATCGGGCAGTCCATTAGGCATTGTTCTAGATCTGCCCTTCGCTCTGGGGAGGATTTGCCACAGTAAGAGCAAAATGAAGATTGGATCCCTCTCCGTTCCAGTTTTGAGTGGGGGACCATCCAATCTGGCGTTGAAAGACACCTACAAAAGAATCGGTCATTGAAGAGCTCGCATTGCTGTGGGCATCAGTTTCAAGTATTTTCTGCACGAAAAAGCGTTGAAATCTTCTTACGATACTATAAATTCTTTGAGCCTTCTTTCTTTGACGATTCTGGTCGTATCCCTGGTGTGGCGGACTTTCCTATCATAGCCTTTGACTGTCTATTGCCAGATGGGTAGCGGTTTTCGGCCACTCCATTCCCATTCTGCTGGGTCGAACAGGAGTGAGAAGATTGGAGTTGCTATTCACAGCCCCACCAACCTTCCTTGCCATGATAGCCCACCACACTTACTGAAATCAGCGGTGACCACAGTTCTAGTCTGTCCAGTCTTCATCCCGCCTGAGGCACGAGAACCTGGTACGAGGCACAGCTGGCTTGCAAGCATGTAACTGCACTTGCAAATTTGTTATGTTGGCTACTTTGAAAATCAGCATGGGTGGAGGCCTTGATGAGGTTTGAATCACCCCATCGCCTGCATTAATCGTGGACCTTCTTTCAATGCTTTTACCTATACCAACAAATTGCTTCTTGCAGTTCCAAACAATTTTTCTTGCGTTTGTTTCGTGTGTTCTATTTGTTCTTAGTTGAGTGGCTGTCTTCGATGATGATTTCCCTTGGTCCCAAAGGCCACCCACTATAAATATTCCTTTGGTGACCCAGGACGGCCAGTGTGAATGTTGATGTATCGACCATGTAGGATGTGTGGATTCGCAAATACCGGCTCGTTCCAAAGCTCATGCCACACAGGTGTGGGCGGGAGCTTTTTGCGGCCCACGTCCCTCCACAGGGTGAGTAGAGAGGCCCAGTGTCGCATACCGTAACGGTATAGACCAGAACAAGAACCGACCTCTCTCACATAGTACAAGATACCGCAGTGGAAGGCTAAAATACCAATGATCCGAACAATCAATGTCACAATGCAGACCAAAGATACATCATCATCATTCCATGGTCTGAAGGGGCCTGGCGCTCACACAGGAAGAATACGCCAGTCCCCAACCATACACAGACGAAGAAGAGGGGGGTTAGACAAAGAAGAGGGGAAGACGGGAATGTCGTCAACACCAAGTCTTCGGTACATGTAGCAAATAATCCCTCGTCCAATGTCTCAATCCCAATGTCGAGTCTGGATCCAAATGTCGTCAAGTCCCAAAGTCACCAACCTCTCTCTCTCTCTCTCGTAGTCTGCAGATACTGAGAAGTCAGGTAGCGAGAGGGTGAGGGAGAGATGGTGGACTTAGAAGAGGAATACGAAGAACTCTCTCTCTCTCTCTCTCTCTCTCTCTCTCTCTCTCTCTCTCTCTCTCTCTCTCTC